TAACTTTATTAGATGCAACTTTGCATGATATAGGATCGATAGGTGCGCTTAGGCCTGTAGTAATTTCAGATGTCGAAATTTGATTTCACAAAATAAGAAGGAAAAAAAAGTTTAAAAAAATAGTAACTAATAAAGGAAAAAATATATATAATTCTTCACCAATACCTCTAAAATTGAATTAAATTCTTTGAAAAGCGTCTCTAAAACAAAGCAAAGCATTTCCAATTGATATCGTCTATGAGTGCTTCTTCATTTGTTACTTTATGAATTATAAGAAATGCAAGCAAAATTTGTGTTCTCAGATATCCTATCACACTTTTCATTACACAGAGATGAAGATTTATGATACTACAAAATAGGAAACAGAAGAAAATGATGTAGAGGAAAGATTCAGAATTGAAGTTTCGAACAAAAAAAAGTTACATTAAAGAGAAGAACGAAATGAACGTTGTGGTCAAAGATGCATTTCAAAAACTGCAAACCTTTCTTGCAGACTGTATGGATTACTTCTTTTTGCTTTTTAAAGTTTTTTCGTTTTTCTTGTTCCTTTATTTTTTGCAATAATAACGCTACTTTATGGAAAATGGCTCAGTTCTTATGTAGCACAAATAAATAGGATAAATAATTACATCCGACTCCGTAACAATGGCAACTGGAGAAATAGAAAAGAAAAGAAACTACCTCGAGGATCTAGCTGATCTAGCTAATGTTGATGCACTGCTGAGCGCTTCGGAAAATGTAAAAAAGGAAGGAAAATTAGGGAGAAGAAAGGTGGAAATTCATTTAAAAAGGAATAAACGTTTCAACATATTGCCCAACACTCATATAGATCTGCTAGTACAGATGGATGAAGCTGCTTTGTGTAACCGCAAATCATGTTCAACAAATACCGCCACTTCTGAACGATTAATAATATACAGATAGTTGGACAGAAACGAAGGTGTGGAAATCATGAAAAAGGAAAAGGAAGATCACTGATCATAGCTGGACGAATTACTATACATCAGTATGTAAATTATAAAAGCTAGCAACAGCAATATGAGTAAACATAATGATAACATGAAACAAGAATAAAAGTTAGAAGAAAAAATATGCTTCCTTGAAAATGATGAAAGTCAGAAATGAGTTGATATCTGCTCCTGGAAAATTAATTATTAATATTACTGTGGAATTTTTGGATGATTTCATTGTTAGGCGCACTTGTCAATCTCATTATCTTTTCAGAATTCAAGTTTCAAATTTAAATTTTAAATCAAGCTTTCATTTTTTTTAATTTCATTTGGGAACACACACGCGCCATCCAATACTCCGTTCATTTTTCAGCTTCAACAATATCTTTTTCCAATGAGAAAAAATGCGTCATTGTCATTGAAACACAATGACGCATTTTAGGTTACTCTATCATATGGAATAATTTGTAGAAAGACTACATGAAAACTTATTTTAGAAGCTTAGATCATGCAATCGAGACTTGACAAATATAAATGACAACTCAGACTAAATCACATAACACACTGCGCTATTAATGATCACAAATGATGACGTCAAGCAGATTTTGAAAGATAAATTTAATAAAAAATATTCCAAGGATCATATCTTGCTATGTTAAATTCCGAGCACATTCACCGTATGAATTGATATAAGAAAAGGGTAAGTATTTGATAACGAAGAGTAAACATGCAAATAAACTCTATTATTATTATCATGCAACCAACAAGCCCCTTATCTAGCTAGTAAATAAATTATATAACCTTAAAAGGATATTCATAGGGGCGAACCTGGCAATGGGCTGCTCATACTGCTTCTTATTCCAGCTGCCCTTCGCTGCTGTTTAAAAGTCGTATCCACTCGTACAACCGTATTCTCGTGGCTTAGCGTCTTTCCCGCTGTGGCAGACAAATAAATAAGTACGTGAAACACTTGTTTTTTCTTTCAAAAAATTTCCATTCATAACTAAATACTCAAATTATGACATTTTCATCTGCATGAAATTAATAAAAGTAGCACCCCAGTAGCAGCTGATCTCTGCTAATTTCTGATGAAAGGCAGAGAAAAATTTAACCTTCGTGGATTTTTTCCATTTGTGAAAATGGAATCTCTAATAGTAGAAAATATAATTTTTGGAACGATTTAAAAGTTCAGAAAACTTCTAAGAGCTAAAAAAAAGCAAATTAAAGTATTCACTGATATTGAATAGCGAGGCATGGAATGGGAAGGAAAAGTGAAGAAAGAAGTGGGATTTAATGATCTCAAAAATTTATACCGTATCTGTCAGTAGATATTTTTGAGAGGATACTAAACTAATATTTGATGAACTCATCACTTAATGAAATAGTATATAATACTTCCAACACGTCAAAAATGAACCGGAAAAAGCTTAAATAGGCTGGTGAGATTGCAATTTCTGTAAGAATTCTTATAGAGTGAAATTAAATGAAAAAGCTCCAGTTGAACTGATAAAAGGGTAAAGAGCAAAGAAATAAACTGTGCACTTGCAAGCCTAAGTTAAATACTTTCTAAATATCACCTTAATTCACGCTAATGCAGAAGTATGCACAAGATAATTTCGAAGTATCCAACAGAATTATAACAGGAATGTAACAACTGCCGGCATTTCAACAAGTGGGAGATGTCTTGATTTTTATGACTGATATTCAACAGATGCCACTTATAAAAATATTCGATCTTCCTAAGGAGCAAGTGTTACGGATTTATGAAATATTACACCGAAGCACAACTGCGCATTGGAAATAATCAAATGCAATTCGTCGTAGAAGGCCCTAAATGACACAGTTGTTTAACGGTTGGTGAAACAAATGCTAATTTAAATCGAATTTTAAACTGACATTCTTTTGCAATAGTTAAATATTCCATTCAGAAGATGAGCTTAAAAAGCCGATGTGACTGATGCCTAATTTATCGATAGTTTTCTCATTCAAACTTCCAGAACTGAAATATTACACGATGGAATAAGTGTTTGAGTGAAGGATATGTAATCAGCTTAAAATAAACTAATCTATCTTAAAATGGAATCGATTATGGGCCAAAAACTTGTTACTACCTTGAAATGTTTCATACTTACACTAACACTTAAATCAGTGAGGAGTCCAAGATAAAAATAAGACTAATTCAAAGCAAAACCTGTGTCTGTACCTTAGCCTTGCGCTGAATCTATGGAAGAACTGTAATTTTCACTAAATCATCCAGCTGAAGGACCTTAACTTTTGGAATAAAGAAAAATAGATAATTTTACGTTTTGGTACTTTAAATTTCCGTCGTTATTTAATTTCAATATTGTCATGTAGGAATAATCATTAAAAAAGTTGGTTATCAGGAAATGTTAAAAGGATATTAGCAGTCTACTGAACCACATGCACCACAGTATATGATAGCATTCAAATAAAAAGTTAATGATCATAAACTTATGCTCCTCCTAATGTTATAACAAATGCGTGTCCAATTTTATTTGCTAAGAACAGCAAAGACTGAATTCGAGACTTTTTGAGAGGCCATTTATCTATCCCTTCCTTTCCAGAACAATAAGTCTCTAATGCGTATCAACCTTGTGGCATTAGCATTTCCTTTCGAACCAGGAAGGCACAAAGCCAGCTACTGACAACTTCCTAGCAGATGCTATTGAATGCAAAGAATGCAGTGAATAAGAATAAGAAGTGCAAAAATGTAGCAGTTTTACTACTTCTCCACAATTTTAACACTAAATTCTTCAAGCATCATTATAATTTTTGAAAATGAATGTCAGATAAATGGTAGCAAAAAAATAATGATTTTTTTTTTCTTTCTTTTAATACTACATATAAGTTTGAAAAACATGGATTTAAGTTACAATTACCTTTATCAGAATCCTGATCGTCAATTGTTTGTGATGATTCCGATGATTCCTTTATGGTACTCGGTAGTGTTTCTTTCTTGTTCAGCAAATTACGACCTTAAATAAGTTCAAAATTTAAGATTATTTGAAAATCTCAGCAAGAAATTCTTATATTTCTGATTTTATTAAAAAACTAAATTTGAAAGCATTTTGAGAAAATAAGGTGCATTCTTCAATTTACATCTCATCATCCCGATCTCAAATCTTGTTAAAGTGCTCTGTCATTCCTGAAAACTGAAATGGCACACTGAAATATTTTTTACGAAATTTAAGTCGCGAGCTGAGAGAAAAAGACCAAATAAGTATTAGAATAGTGGAAAAATTTACTGTTTAACAATGATAATAACAAGCTAAGCTCAATTAAAAAAATTATATCGTTTGCAAAAAAAACTTCCATTCTTTTATTATTACACTGTATAATTTTCTTTGAAGCTTTAAAATTAATGCCATAAAGTAACTTCAGAAATAGAGAACTTCGCAATAAAATTTACGAAAGTTTAAAACCAGGCCTACATGTACACTCAATCAAAAATAAAGCTTTCAAATACCTTAAACGAATGACATCTGTTTTTGTGCTTCAAAAACTTATACTAGCAAAAAATTTCATGCCACAGTAAAACGAAGACATCGATAATTAGAATTACAACATTTCCTAATCAATGAAGTGCACATTTCGTGTTCTACAACTTTACATCGGGCATAAATAATAATTTATAGCTAACAACTCACCAACAACTGATGTATTAATGACAGTAACCGGTGGATGAATAAATTCAAAATATAGAGATTTTTCTGGTGCATTGCATTGTTCTCTGGTAGGCTTTTTCCCTAATTTACCATTGTTGGCGGTAGAACCACTAAATACACGAGCTATCGTTAATGTTGCAGTAATTGTACTGCCACTAATATTGGTATATTTAGCTACTAAGTGGCATACAGCAATGAAAATAAAGGCAAATAGTAATAAAGGCCATAGTTGTGCTAAATGCTTCACAACAAACACAAAAATATAAAACATTGGTGAAAGTGAGCTCAAAGAATAAGCAATAAAATGCTCCAACTGCTGCACAAAATGAACAATGATAATAACTACATACTGCTACTGCTCATTCTGTTGCTAGAGCTTCACTCGAAAATACCCATTTTGTGGTGCTATCAACCAGAATAATAGCACCACCCTTTTTGAAATTTAGGAAGGATACTATACAATCCTTGAAAGATGCTATTATTTCATAGTACATAGATATACTGATGAAGCACTAATGACAGATTTAGCTATATTTACATTTCAACTTTTCAACGTGACTTATCACTTTTTACGGTGAAATCACATTCCTAAGACTGTTGGCTTTTATTAATCATAAAAACTAAAATTAATCACAGTATTGATTTGAGAAGAAAGAAATTGGACCTTGAAGCTCTGTATATTTTGCTTCAAATAACTGTTTTCTTAATCAAATTCTGAATATATTCATAACTTACATTATACATTACTAATTATTGAAAGTACGTAAACTAAAGTAATTTTTTTACTAATATCAAAATTGAATGATCTGCTTTAAATTTTAACCCTTTGTTACCATTCCTAAGACTGTTAGCTTTTATTAATCATAAAAACGAGTAACTAATTCTACGAAATGAGAATTAGGTATAAGTCGAGGATTTTTACAATTATGGTTATGAAGCTTCGGAACATATGAGCGACTTAAAGTCACATTAAAATAAATTAAAACAGCATAAAAATTTGATATACAATACTGCAAAATAAGGGTTAGAGTGAATGTGTGCTGGATATATCAAGCTTTCGAGAGCGAAATAACTTGTAAGATTGAGTAGTCATAATTTGCTCAACAATTTATGATTATTTCATGTTATTGTTATTGAGGTGAAGGGATGTTTCCGGTACGCTTCATTTTGTTGCGTGTTGAAAAAACAATTTTAGTGTGGTATGATATAGCGAATAGTATTAACAGCATTAGTATTATAAGAGATACTTTAGTAATATATGAATTACATTAACCGTTCGCTAAGCAATAAATTTTACTTTATTTCTTACTTTTTAATCCATGTAAGTTAATGAAACCTTTCGTTAGTAAATACATTTCAAATCCAAAATCTATCCTTTGAAATTTAAAAGCGGCAAAAACGTAATAGAATTTCTCTAATATTTTAAAAATCGTGAGAAGACAGAAATATCTTAACTTCAATATTGAAATTGTGTTCTATCCGTGACATTGAAATTAAGCTCAACTAAATGCGCTTTGCAAACGGAATAAAAAAAAGAACGAAATGAGCTTTATTAACCCACATGGTTTATGATCTGGATCCAATCACTAATCACATCACTACTTTAAAGACTTTTAAACTGCAACCACAGTGATGACAACGTATTTCAGAGCGTGAAGCAAGTTATAACAAATAGGCACTGCTACATGACGTCTTCTGTATATTAATGTTATTGACATGATATTGAACGCTTATGACATGAATTAATGAAATTATACTGTCTGTCTGTTAAAATAAATCAATACACATAAAAATTCAGAAATAATAATATGACCCGACAACATATTAGCTTGCCTGCTCTTAATGCTAACAATATGTTCATTTTTTTAAAAAACAGACCAATTTTTAGTTTCTGATCTATTCATGCTCTTAGAAAGATTGATAACAAAATGGAACAAAATTTTTTCAAGCTGTCGAAAAAATATTTAGAAGAAGACAAAATTTCATTTTTTTGTTGAAACAAAACTGCTCTTAATACTAACAATATGTTATAATTTTCAATTAACAAATCATCAATATACAAAACTAAAACCATCCAAGGAAATTAATAAACATTAGTGCAAAATAAAGATATTATATCTTTGCAGGCACTTTATATGAACTAACTGCCGGTATAAAAGTATTAATGGTGAAAGTAAGGAGAAACGAGAATATATTTCTATTGATTCGAAAAGATATAGCAGCAATGACTACTAAATATACAATGGTCGAGATCCTTCAGACAAAGTGACTGCTAAACTTAGAAAGCTAGAAATTAGAAACTATAAAGCTTTTACCGTCATTTTGTTTGTCAGGTCTTTAATGGGCATGAAGATATAAAATATCGCTAAGAATACCACTCATAAACACCATTAGAAAATCCCAAGTTCTTTGAATCCAATTTTTGCAGATAGAAAGCGCCTACTTATTACCTCTCAACTAGGAAAAAAGATGGAGATGAACTGCATATTTCCCATCCTAACGATTTACCTCAATGAATAATACGACCTCGAGCAGAGACATTTAATTTAAATTAGCTTTCTGTGTATTATTAAGATTTTCAATCTCTGTAAAAAAAACGTGATTTAACATTTTTTTAAACGATGAGGAAACCGGAAAAAAGATAGAAGGAACTCGTTTAATTATTCGGCAATTGTGAGTAGGAAATCCGATATTCATTAGGTTCATTTGGATCGGAGGCTATCTGCATGCAAAATCTCAGATCCCAAGTTTTTAGACAATATTAGAATTTTTTTATTAATAAATGAATCACAGATTCTATGATAACTACTAGTGCTCCAATAGCATAATAAAAATGACAAATTTAGCCACTCAACATCTTGATGGGTCATAATCGAATTGCACTTCTAGCACCAAGTTGATATTTATAACATCTCAGTCGTTTCTAGAATAAATTATAAAATTTGCTCTTTCGCTACAAAAAATTATAGTTAAAATAGATCAACAAAATGGGACAATTAAAATAAGTTTTTCTTCCTTTACATCCATATTAAGCAAGCATTTGTTCTTACCCGAATTTTAACAAAAATATATTTGTAATGTATTTAGAGCAGACAACCCGAATAAACTAAAACAGACATTACAAATTCTGTATTTCCATTTGAGACTTACGGTAACAAGAAGAGGGTTATTAAAATGCAGAAATAAGATTGATAACTAGGTAATTTGCGTGAATTTCTGATAAACAAGATAACTGAAATACAGAAATATACTGCAAATGCCTCTCTCAAAATGCAATATAGAAAGTATATTTTCTAATTTGTAACATTGGAATTTCAATAATTTAAAATGTAGTTTAGAAGAACTCACTTGATAAATTTCGTGTTGCAATCATCGTTGTAAGTATCGCACCCTGAAATTTATATCATCATTTCAATCACTTTTCACTTATTCAATAATGTAATGTTTATCAGAAAGAACAATTTGGCCGTACTCATTAAGTAGTAGTTAATTAATCATCTCCTAAACCCAGCAAGATTGATAGCATTCCATCACAGAGAATTCGTTTAGGTCAATCACCGAAGCGTCCTAAAAAAGCAGTACTAAATAGCAGTTAATTTTAGCTATTCTTCATACTTTACATTCAATTGATGATATTGCGGAGAGTTTATAATGAAAGATGAAGAAACAATAACAAAAATAAATCAAGAATCGAGTGAGACAATGTTCTGCTCTCATCTATTCTTCCTATTTCGTTAAAAGGCAAACTATTGGTGGGGAAAACTGTTTATAATAAATCTCTAAAAGTACTTTGAACAGAAGGAACAATTTCTCAAATGAAATGTAGGGATAAAAATAATTGCTGATGCAAAAAGTGGAATAATGCATAGTTATAACAGGAAGTTAAAAAAATTAAATCAAGTTTAAAATTCACAATCATTCACCTAATTTAATTCATTTACATTTTGGATAATTTGCCAACTTCGGTTAAACCTAAGAAATAGTAGCAAAATTAGATTATATTATGCATTAATCTAAGCAATAATAATGATAGCGCAAATGATACATCTGACAATGTATAAGTCAAAAAGTATTGCTTTCATAAGATCGATTGCAAATAACTTTTTCAATTATGTGTAATATAGAAGGAAAAAAGAATGAAATAGGATTGTTCACTGATATATCAGTAAGATAACAGATAAAAGGCAGGATAAAAGATCACAATAAGTAACATGTAATCAAAAAATAAAAATGATGGTACGATACATAAATTATCGAAATGGCTAACGAAAAAAGTAACTAAACAATTAACGAAATACATCCAAATACAATTTCTTTCATCGATGGATCCCTTCGTTGTGAAACAAGAAACAATCTATATATTCGGTTCAGATCCTTAAAACTAAAAAGTTACAGCTTTTTCATTATTTTATTTTATAACAAACTACAGATGAAAATTAGGGAAAAACAACATTTTCAAAAACTATAAAAATTGATACAGGAATAGAGTGAGCTTGTCACTTATTAATGATTGTCGTATAAGGATGTAAAAAAAACATTTTTGTTAACGAAGCACAACCAAAACGAAACATGAACAAATCAACACATTATATCATTCGAAATACCTAAACTGTTATTACTATTATTATTATTACCAGTTTGTTGCACATGTTTTTTATTGCATTAGCAAACGAGAAACACCGGGAAAGGAAATCAATGGTTTCATATATGTCATTAATTTCGGTACGACAAATATGCAACCGTAAGCTGTCATCATTTTACAACACACCACCTAGTGATTATAGAAAAGATCACCGCTTTTATATACAAGCAGCATTAAATAATTGCAATGTAGTTTGAAATAAATATTTATAAATATAAAATAAAATACGTAGTTCAGACTTCGAAATTCGATAATATCATTATAAATTTTAAATGAAAAAAAATTACCCATCGTTTTACACCACACTTTGGCTAATATGTTATATGAATAACTACAACATCCCCTACGAGATTTAAATTTATGTGCGAAGCGCTTATTACATCTCAGAAGATTTGAAAAACTAAAAACAAAAAAATATTTTCAAATATTAAATCAAGAATTAATAGTAAGACGGGATTTATGTAAATTATAGTTAAGATTGTATTTGCAGAATTCGGTTATTTTTCAAAAAAAAAGAAAATAATATGTTTGATATATAACAGTTCACATGATAACAATTAAGTGATAAACTGCATAAATCTGCAAAAAATTTCCCCAAAATATGCAAATTCAGAAGCAAAAGGTAAATAAAAAAAGGTGCAAAAAATATTTGAGGATGAAAATGAAAAGCGTATTTCACCAGTTAGTAATAAGCATGAGAGCAAAGAATTTATTTGGAAAATATGGATCAGACAACAGAATAATATGAAGAATCTGAGAAAGAATAAAAAGAAAAAAAGCTAAAAAAAATTCCAAAATCTTTAAATAATAGTAAACTTTAAATAATAGTAAGCTTTCTATAGAAATCCAAAAAAAATCCAGTAATTTGGAAGATAAAGTTTTATTTATTGAAATGAAATTTCAATGAAAAAATACCTTTAGTTTTCGTCTAGCATTGAATTTCTTCAAACAATCCACCGTATCTTGACGATGTATTACGGAAGCAACACGTTCACGATTCTAAATATGAAAATTATTATTTTAATAGCGCGAAATGTTATTCTATTATTCTCTATCATAAACATATTTTTAAGGAATAAAATTGGTTTAGGAAAAGGAACTGCATTTTCTTAGGGTTCAATAACTTACGCAAATCCATGGAACTTTTAAAGCCTGTTCTGCAGTTATTCGTTTTTTTGGATTAACCGTTAACATATTGTCGATTAAATTCTTAGCTTCAGGAGTAACTGTGTCCCATTCAGGGCTTGGATACTGCAATCAAAATCAAATCAGTAAAAAAGTGACAAATACCAAAGACATTCAAAGATATTCTTTAAGAAGATAGAAAGAGATAAAGTTACTTATTAGATCAGTATCATTGATCCTCTATGTTAATGATCAATGTGCATAAAAATAAGCCAAAATAAGTTGTTTCTGCTGAGTGACTTATTAAACAATTAATAACTACTTTTGGAAAGTTTATCATAATTGCTTCTTAAATGTTTATAATCTCCACATAAAAAGAAGCGCTTACATCATAAGCACCCGCTTTTATTTGTGCATATAAACGATGTTGGTCTTCGTCCCAAAATGGTGGATAACCAACAAGAAGAATGTAGAGGATAACTCCTGCAAAACTTCTAAATTGCAGCGTGATAAAACAATAAAATAATAACAACAAAATTAAATGTGTAACATACCACATGCCCATATATCGACTGGTTTTCCATAAGGATCTTTTTTGAGCACTTCTGGTGATAAATACCCGGGTGTGCCTGCAAAACCGAACCATGCTTCCGTATCTCCCTGTACTTCAATTGCAAGCCCAAAATCGGCTAATTTCACTGCTGCACCTTTCGCTTTGCTTGCAAGTAAGAGATTTTCAGGCTAAAAATTTTGTTTCCAAATTATGTAAATATTCAACAATGTGTAATTTTAACAATGAAGCTATGGAAGTATTTCACTAAGCTTAAGTAAATTTCTGTAATTTGCGATAAATCCTTAAAAATCAACCTAAGGAAATTAATATCAAGTAATCTGAAGTTTAAGCTCACTCTATTAAAATTACCTTGAGATCCCTGTGTACCACATTGTTCAAGTGGCAGTAGGCAATTGATTCCAGAATTTGTTGAATACAGTGACTGAAATATTTTATAGAAAGGCTAAGAATATTTGTTTTTTAGTTAATCCGTGTTAAAATGAAGACAGTGTAGGGGAAAAGGGGAAATTTTGTCGAGCTTGAAATGTTACATTTGATAACAAGTTGATTACTATTACCTGGCATCCGCTTCACTATAAAACTCTCTAGCAACTATATCTTCGAACAGTTCGCCACCTGTCACTCTGAAAAAAAAAGATGAAAAAATATGCCGTTAAACACTTCAAGAATTCTATCAGACAGAAGCCCTTTTAACAGTCAAATTTTTCACAGCTCTTCAAAATCTTATATTCAAAATGATCGGAAAGCCAATTTGTCGTTTTTTTTTTCTTTGTATGGAAAAAGAATATATATATTTACAATAAGAACATATGGAAACATACAAATCAAAAACAAGATAATGAAAAGCTTCTTCTTGTATGTTGTCGTGTAATCGCACTGAAATTCATTTATTTTCTTTTTCTTTTGATCGAAATAAATTCAAAAATTTTACAAGAACAAACAATTTCCTTTGAAATAATTGGAGAGAAATATGCTTACCGATATTAGGATGCTGTAGCTTGCGGCATATTCGAGCTTCTCTTTCCAATTTTTGAAAATCTGAAACCATTAAAAAAACTGATAAAAAGTTGGTGAAAAAAATGATGGCATTTAGCAACAAATTTCTAAAAGAACATGTTATTAGATCATTTCGACGATACATTTTAGTGAATTTTGGATAAAAGGAATAAATGTAAAATTAAGTTTGTCATTATTTAAAGAAATGAAATTTATGAGAATAAAATATATAACAGCAAACCACGTGCGGAAAGTTTCTTCGTATTAATGATTTTTGCAGCAAACTCCATGCCAGTTCGTTTCTGTACACATCGTCGTACTACCGAAAAAGCACCTCTAAAATTTTGAATACGGTTTACAATGCGAAAATAATGCACTATCTCTATCATTATTTTCGAGATAAATTTAAAATAATAATAATATGTTGATGTATCCTACACTGCTGATAATACGTAGTATTATGCAATGACATATTTATGTCAGATAAATAATCAAATAATGTCGTAAGGAAATTCCACGCTAATTCCATATGCATGCTATGTATGAAATTCAGTATCAGTTACAGAGTGCAAACAAGGTCGAATAAGTAGGCAAAGAATTATAATTTGATGCAAAATTAAACATGGATGTCTTTTTATATTATTTTCAAGGAATTTAGAAAAAGAACGAACTTTCCAAGCTCCTCCTTGACTTCGTAATTATCACTGAAGTTTGTCGACGTACTGTTCATGACGTTATTCGCCTGCGGTATAACTACCATAATTTAATAACACCGAAAGAAAGTGTGCATTCCGTTCGAAAATTTTTTGAACTGCTAACTTGATGTGAAAAAAAACAGCAAATATTTAGCAATTTTTTTTTTCCTGGAAAAATTTTCCACTGTCTTCTCCGCGAAATTGTATGTGATACGGATCAACTACCTGTGATAATCTAATTCATTTTGATCTGTTTAGAAAAATCGCAACGTAAAAAATCGCTTAGAAAAAATATATCAAAACGCGTTAGATACTCTCATCATTTAACAAAACCATTTAAGACAATCGCTGTTTGGTATTTAAGAAGTAATCAAACAACTAATATAAAAATTTCATATTGAAAAGTTTCCTCCTTTTTATTTTCCAGATCCACATAACTTTACAGCGATATTCCATTGTGCAGAACAAATCTTAGGATAATGAAATAAAAATGATCTAACATACATTGTGTGGGAAAATATGCGTTCATTGAGGATAGTTTTTTAACTACTTTCTAGTATAAAAAAGAATTCCATCAAATTTTGAAATTTTTAATGTTTTATTGTCTTCAAAAATTCATTTCACTTTCATCAGTCATTTAACAATTTTTTCAAGAAAATACTTAATCGACATAAGTGCCGATATTTCTCGACTATAGTCTAGTAATAACGCACCAGATAGGAACTTATGTGACTTTCTACAAGTTGCTCGAAGGTGATAAAACCATTCTTTTCAAAATTTTCCAGGCTATAATGAAAACAAGATATTCCTCAATAAAAATTTCTTCAATAAATTATTTATGTATTTCTAACAACTGATCATCAATTTATCAATGATTACAATATCAAGTAAAATAGATATGCGATACTTCTCTCAAGAGTAAACCGTAGAAACAAGACCGAAAAAATCGGAATTTCATAAATTTTGAAGATATTATAATTTGTAATCAGCTAGGAAAATATATTTTCAGTGTCGTTATCGACGTGAATGTACGCTTTTATGTGACATCTCGAGAGGATAACAGTTGTTGAAATGAATCAAAAGCATATACAAGTAGTCAGGATAAGGGCACCAAACAACATGTTAGAGTGCTATGGTGCCACAACAAATTGACAAACATGACAGCTTTAAACTTTATAATGAAAAGGTGGACAAGAATTGCTTGATGGATGATGGTTCCAATTTGAGAAACTCTATTTTATGGTTCTCAGTTTTCCGCAACCTTCCTCTTGAGAGATCAGTCATTAGTTTTTCATCTTTAACTTTCATTAGTAAACAAGTGGAGTGCGGAAATGGGCAGAAATAAAAGTTTCGTGATATTGCGTTAAGCAGCTATTTCGAATTAATCACTCTTAAGCTATCCAACGACAAATACAAATTCGTAACGGATAGAGAGGAGGTACTAAATGAAGAAAATATTAAAAATGCTAAAGCGTGGACATGAATCCAATTAGTGGCAAAAGATAAAAACCTTTAATGAGAACAAATAGACACACATTCCTATTATGAATTGAATAATAATGGGAAAGGGACTACTTCAATTACACGACTAAAAATTGAGCAAATTAATGTTTTTTAAGCTGTTTTGTTTCTCATAAAATGCTCCATTTATTTGCAGAAACGATATCATTAACACCTGTTATTGCCAGCTCCCTCATTTCCCCTCTCTCTCTCATAATTACTTATCTATACTCCAATAAACCACAAAAAAAAACAATCTTCAGCGAACCAATGCCAAATTAATTAATAATTTTACTTTCTTCCACAAAATAGAAATTTAAATTAAAATTAAAGAAATATAAGTTTTAAAAAAGAACTTTAATTCATTTTCCAATCTCGCTATACACAGCCTAAATCGACTTCCTTTTTTTGCTTTGCTAAGCTTTTCTTGTTATTACAGCTAGGAGAAGCAATGGCCAGTAAATAAGCACTCCAAGATTTAATTAAAGATGAGACATTTCGGACTTCCTTCAAACTTCCTTCAAGCTATGAGAAAAAGGCATGTCAATAAAGAAGAGTTAAAATATCATAGATATTACCAAAGCTATTTTGGTTACAAATAAAAGAGCAAACAAATATAAATAAGAATAAATACATAAATATAAATACAATAAATATATGCATATATAAGCCTACGATAAAGTCAAATATTCCGGTTCCGAACAAAAATAAACCATGTACCGTTTTTACATTATACAATCATGCGGTAATGAAGCACGGAAAACTTTATAGCTACTTTTTCCGTCATAGATAGAAAATTTACTGCGACCGTCATAGACTTTTCGGCATTCAGACATTACCCCAATCAAGATTACCGAAGAGGAAACGTTCAATAAGTACATTATAACAGCATAGGTTAGTTTTACTTTCTTTGAATAAAATAAACTCCGATATAGTTTTGACAGTTTCGCTGATCCTCACCACCCAGTACACTTTCCTGGCTTAAATCAAAGAGTTCACTAAGCATTTACAAACATGTGAAATTGAAAAAAAAAAAGAATTCTTTCGAAGTTATGGCAAAATAACGTGATATAAATATAAATATTCTAATCTCATTTTGATTACTTATGGGTTGAATGCATTCATTTTTAAGCCTCACAAGAAGAGAAAAGTTCATTCTTAGAATGCTTTAACATTTTTCGCTCCTCAAATATGGTACTTTGAACTTGACTATTCATCATACTTTCTTGTAACTTCCTATGTGAGCAATTTTTTATTCGTAATTTTTGCTGTTTCATTTCATGCAATTTACATTTACGTTTTAATAGTAAACTAAATCGATGAAATCAGGGAGAAAAACTCTACAATTAATATAATATGGAAGCCTAAAGTTGACCTCATGTATTGGGATCGTAATTTTGATCGTAACTTTATTTTTGGAAAGAAGTGAAAGCAACAGTGAAACAACAAACCTTGAATCAGTTACCTTAGAAAGTTGAGTTCCATGTTCAAATTCGAAATTTTAAAAACGCCCTTCCTTAACGCTTCACAGTTGATATCTCATGCCTAAATGAAAAACAGCAGAAAGAAATTTCAATCCGACACCCTGTAAACTGCAAATATTGCACTGCTTTTTTAAACAATAAACTTATGATGACTTGTTTGCTCAACTTTCATACAAAAACAATGGAATTTATTCCCAATATGGTACCATAGCAAATAATAAAAGATCGTCAGAAATATGTGTATAGCAAATAAAAACACTGCAACGATCGGCAAGAAATATCGGTTGCTGCAACGTAATGTTAGTATTAACAGAGATTTCCTTCCAAAAAGCCCAAAAACTAACAGATAATCAAACACAGTTTTGGCTGTGCTATTTACGACGATGAGCTAAATATATGACAATCGTTCAATTGCGATATCCAACACGTATGACGTCAAGCATTTTAAATTCAAAAAAGCTGCTCATTCTTGAAACATTTTGGCTACGCATATCAGCTGAATTAATGAGCGATGAAACGATGAGTTTTGAAATGTCTAAGAAGTTCGCATGGTATTATTCAATTTGAAATGTTTCGGAAATATTTTTATACTAATTAAGTTTTTTTGAAGAGTGCGTTATTGATAATACATTTAAAAATATGCATTTTGTTAGACAAATTAAGGTCAAAGAAAGCCAAAAGTCAGTTTTCATATGACAAAAGGATGATGCAAGTGTAGTAGGTTGGAGAGATTTTTAAGAAAAGAAACCATCAACTTATTTATCAGATTGACTTCATCATCTTTTCTTGTTAATCAGTTATTCTTTATGGCAGAGAACACAGGAATAGTTAGTAAGGAACATTGAAAGCCATGCTGAAATAAAGATAATGATAAGTGTCAAAAATCGAAGTTATTAAAATAAAGTATAAAATGCAACTATGAAATGACAAACTTAGTAAAGAACAAAAAAAGCAAGATCAGTAAATCGGACTAAAAAGTTCCAGCACGTCTTTAAAATCCTTCTTTCCACGCCAACATTTTTAGAAATCAATAATACATGCAAAAAAAGGAAAATATATTATGGGGTGAATGTAGCTGGCTTATTTAACAACCAAACAACCTATAGGCCTGAGCATAGGCTACTAACAAACTTAGACATACAAACACACATGTATATATGCAGCATATCTCTATGCCTGTGGTAGTCTCCTCCTTCTCACGAAAACAGAAGAGGAATTGATTGTTTGAGGCTCTCACAAAAAGCCTCGTTTCCAGGACGGCTTATCAGTGTGAGCCCCTTCAAAGCGATCTATTTCGCACTGATCACTATTGCTTCACAATTTACAGATATATTCATTCCTCTATTCCAGATATTCATTCATTCGCCCCCACAGATAGCTGAAGAGGCATAGCACATCAACATTCTGATCAAACATCAAACCTGGACAGAATCAGAACAGTCACTAAAACATCATTAATCCATTGTCGTCACATTATACTCTCACTTATATTTTATTTTGCGTTCGGATCCAAAAATATCTCCGAGTGGTTATTATGAAAACGAAATGAAGTTTGAATGATAATATGAAAGGGAAGATGAATGAGAGATATAGAGCTTACAAAATTCTCATTCTGATGGAGAATCCAGGAGCTCACGGGTTTTTCATTAAGATTTCCAAAAATCTTATCACACCAAATCAAATTTCTCCTCATCTTTGTTCAATGCTCATTTTTCAACATAAACAAACTGTTTTTCTCGTGAGAAAAAAATCGTATAACATTCACAAAATTTGAAAGTAATAAAAAATGATAAGTGTCATTCAGATAAACCGGAAAACCTGAGAGGTATGAAAAATGATAATGAAATATTCTCGAAGAATTATTCCTTTTTCCTTCTGATTTTTATCCTTTAATAGGAACTCAATTACAAAGTTAAAAGGATTCTAAAATATTTCATACTCATTACTAAAAGAAATCGAAATAAAATGAGAAATCTTCCTTCTTCCTCTTCCTCTTCCTCTTCCTCTCCTCTCTTCTCTTCTCTTCAACAAAAACAATTCTCTAAAGCAAGAAAATGCACGCTTTCCTGTTATCCATCCTA